AGCAGCACAGGCAAAGGTATACACACACACACTATAGGCATAAACACACACACACACACACACACACACACACACAGTTTCAGGCTGGTGGTGTCTGCTGTCTCAGTTTTCTAGTTTCCTGCAGTCTAATTCTGCATTTATTCTTTTACTACCAGAAACAACTCATTAGTGTTTTACATCAATGTGTGTTTGTGTGTGTGTGTGTGTGTGTGTGTGTGTGAGAGAGAGAGAGAGAGAGAGAGAGAGAAAGAGAGAGAGAGAGACCTAGTTTTAATGACCTTCAGAATAAAAAAGATGGATAAAAAGGGATAAAAAGATGAACTAAGTAACAGGGAGAAAAGGGCAGCGAGAGAGCAGAGGAGTCAGTTATCCGCAGATCTGCCCGTCTTTAATGATGTGCGACTCTTGTCAGATGATTAAAATTGCACACAAACCACCCCGGAAACGTTGATCGCTGCGCTTGAAAGACTTGTGTGCGTTTAAGAGCGATAAAGACACAAATCCACACACATATCAAACTGAACTCAGTGAAGTGACACAGACAGGGTGAAATGTCAGAGAATGTTAATGAAGGGCAGGTGAATGATGCTATTGATTCACCTTCAACTCTCTTTATGTCTACAGTATGCTGTGAACTATCGTGTCTTCACTAGTTTTGCCGGCGAGCCTGCTTTATGACTGAAAAGCGGTTTGTATTAAAAAGACAAGCGTTGAGGAATATTGAACTGAAAATCTGAATATTTTCTGGTTAATTTATTGTAACACTGTAAATATTACATTGCCTAACACAATATTTTCATTACTCACAGTATAACTGTAACTATTTACATTACTCACAGTAACACTGTAAATATTTACACTACTCACAGTAACACTGTAAATATTTACATTACTCACAGTAACACTGTAAATATTTACATTACTCACTGTAACACTGTAAATATTTACACTACTCACAGTAACACTGTAAATATTTACACTACTCACAGTAACACTGTAAATATTTACACTACTCACAGTAACACTGTAAATATTTACATTACTCACTGTAACACTGTAAATATTTACATTACTCGCAGCAACACTGTAAATATTTACACTACTCACAGTAACACTGTAAATATTTACATTACTCACTGTTACACTGTAAATATTTACACAACTCACAGTAACACTGTAAATATTTACACTACTCACAGTAACACTGTAAATATTTACATTACTCACAGTAACACTGTAAATATTTACATTACTCACTGTAACACTGTAAATATTTACACTACTCACAGTAACACTGTAAATATTTACACTACTCACAGTAACACTGTAAATATTTACACTACTCACTGTAACACTCTAAATATTTACATTACTCACAGTAACACTGTAAATATTTACACTACTCACAGTAACACTGTAAATATTTACACTACTCACAGTAACACTGTAAATATTTACATTACTCACAGTAACACTGTAAATATTTACACTACTCACAGTAACACTGTAAATATTTACACTACTCACAGTAACACTGTAAATATTTACATTACTCACAGTAACACTGTAAATATTTACACTACTCACAGTAACACTGTAAATATTTACATTACTCACAGTAACACTGTAAATATTTACACTACTCACAGTAACACTGTAAATATTTACACTACTCACAGTAACACTGTAAATATTTACATTACTCACTGTAAAACTGTAAATATTTACACTACTCACTGTTACACTGTAAATATTTACACTACTCACAGTAACACTGTAAATATTTACATTACTCACTGTAACACTGTAAATATTTACACTACTTACAGTAACACTGTAAATATTTACATTACTCACTGTAACACTGTAAATATTTACATTACTCGCAGCAACACTGTAAATATTTACACTACTCACAGTAACACTGTAAATATTTACATTACTCACTGTAACACTGTAAATATTTACACTACTCACTGTTACACTGTAAATATTTACACTACTCACAGTAACACTGTTAATATTTACACTACTCACAGTAACACTGTAAATATTTACACTACTCACAGTAACACTGTAAATATTTACATTACTCACTGTAACAATGTAAATATTTACACTACTCACTGTAACACTGTAAATATTTACACTACTCACTGTAACACTGTAAATATTTACACTACTCACTGTAACACTGTAAATATTTACATTACTCACTGTAACACTGTAAATATTTACACTACTCACTGTAACACTGTAAATATTTACATTACTCGCAGCAACACTGTAAATATTTACACTACTCACAGTAAAACTGTAAATATTTACATTACACACAGTAACACTGTAAATATTGATATTACATGGCTGTAGCATGTAAACGTTTGCACTACCTCATTGTAACACTGAAAATGCTTACATTAAATTATTCACGTTCCCTTACTGTAATGCTGTAAACATTTACATCCATTTATTGTAACACTATAAACATTTACATCACTGTAACACAGTAAGTGTTTACATAACCTTGCTGTGTCATCCTAATTTTGTACATTACCACTTTTAAATATTTATATTACTTTACTGTGAGTCTGAAAATCTCAAGAATGACATTTATCTCACTGAAACAAGTTTTACAGTGGACTGTTTGTATCCAATCCTAAGCAAACACTATCTGTCCTTACATCTTTCCACACAATTTCTGTAAAAAAAATCTGCATCTATACCAATATATTTTCAGTATGCATGAATTTTAAGTTGTGGTAATAGATTCCCCTAACGTGTAGTGACAAATGAATTGACAAATAAAAAAACAGACTGTCCATTCCATGTGCATTAAATCTGTTTAATTAGCTGTTTATCATTCAGAACAATCTACGACTGTATCACAATCCTTACAGCAGCTAAATAACATTGAGTTTTATATATATTTACCCTTTTATTTGCACAAAATTAAAAACACCAACTATCATGAGTGGATAAACCAAAGTCATGTGAACATTTACCATGAAACAGTTCTATAAAAAGACCAAATCCATTAGCTTTAAACAATTATTATGTTTATCATTCAGCATTTTTTGAGTTATTTTGAATGTGCTCCTTTGCAACACAAGTACTTCAAATATTACGACATTAACTGCTCTATTTACCACCTAAATCGAAATCTAATGCATCCTATGTAAACATACACTTTATTTTAAGACTAAAAACAGTCTGTGTGGAAGTTAGTTCAACGATTGTTTGTTCTCAGATACAAAAGGAGCTACAAATTAGCACTACCTGACGAAACAGTCACAATGTCCTAGGGAGCAGATGTTCTTGCTTTTTTTGTTTTCATTAACCTCCGGAGGCTCGGTTTACAATTGATCCATTTTACGAGGAAACAGAAGATTGGTCTCGTGTTCAGATCTCTACAAAAAACACCAGCTTCTTCAAATATCTCCTAGAAAGGTGTTTGAATCACACATCAAATACAAAGAGATGTAATAAAATCCCTGTGATCTATGGAGACTCTTAAAAAATGCTTTGAAGATTGATTAAAATCTCTCGGGATGTTCATCCAGATTGTCTCCAGGTCGTCGTGGCATCCGGTTTGGCTACTAAAACTAAAAAACAAATCCAGTATAAAATATATCTTATTCTTCTATTGGTGCACATTGCGTGATTGTGTCATATATATATATAGGCTGGATTCATGATGCGAGTCTCCGAAAAGGAATGACTTTAGTTATTATAAGTGGTATTATAAGTGATAAACATGTTGGAGTTACTAGGGCTGCACATACTATGTTAAAAATCCAATTATAATTTTGTTTTTCACAAAAATTTGCAATCTTTTTTAAAGGGTTTGCTTTGTGGATATAGATTATTTGGATCAAAACTTGATTATATATCAATGTGGCAGTAAAATCATACATTTAAATATCCTTTGATTGTTAAATAAATACACTACCTGACAGAAGTCTTGTCGCCTATCCAAGTTTTAGGAACAACAAATAATAACTTGACTTCTAGTTGATCATTTGGTATCAGAAGTGGCTTATATGAAAGGCAAAGGCCTCTAGATTTCACTTATTTTACCACAATAAAATATGATCATGCCTTCATTTTTAATGATTTAATTAGGACAGTAAGCTCTGACTTTGCTTAGACAAAAGTCTTGTAACTTAACAGAAATAATGTCCAGTATAGAATATTAATTTCCAGATGACTTAATAAATAAAGTCATCTGGAATGGCAAAGAAAGCGTTCCTGCAGGACTCCCAGAGTTCATCAAGATTCTTTGGATTCATATTCAATGCCTCCTCCTTCATCTTACCCCAGACATGCTCAATAATGTTTAAGTCTGGTGACTAGGCTGGCCAATTTTGGAGCACCTAGACCTACTATGAACTTTGATGTGGAGGCTGAAGTATGAGGAGCAGCGCTATCCTGCTGAAGAATTTGCCCTCTCCTGAGGTTTGTAATGTAATGGGCAGCACAAATACGTCCCCATATTGAATGTAAACCCAAACTATGATTTTTCCTTCACCAAACTTGACTGATTTCTAAGAGGATCTTTGGTCCATGCGTCATTTTCCAATTAATCAACTAGAAGTCAAGTTATTATTTGTTGCTTTTACAACTGGGATTGATGACAAGACTTTTGTCAGGTAGTGTATAGGTATTTAAGATGCATAATGTAATTCTCTCTGCAAAAGTTAATTTATTTTAAATTGCACTAAGAAGTATTTCATATTTATTATTATGAACGGTGTAGCCCTAGAAGCCAAGTTTCATTTAAGGTTTAGTTCACCCAATATTCTTCACACTATTTATCATGCCATTCCCAGATGACTGATCCATTAAATGAACTTAACGCAGAGTTTTAAAAAAACATGAACATAAATACAATTTTTAACAGTTAAAACTAAAATTCCTAAAACATACACGTTATATTTATATCTTGTCAAATAAAAAAAAATCAAATAAACACTCATCACTCAAAACATTTAACTAAAATTAAAATCAGAAAACATAAAACAATAATTTTAAATAGTAGCAAACTTATAATAATTTAATAATAAATTCTCTGAGAAAGACAAAAAGCACCTTAAAAGTGCCCTAGAAGTCTTTAAAGCCACATAATGATCAACTTTCCTTGACAAACAGTTCAACATTTGAGCTGAAAATGCAAAAAGAAATATGTCTTTGAGTTTGAGAAAAGTTTTCTGAAAACAATTAATTTTATCCTTAATTTTTCTTTTACTTATTTACCATTAAAGGTATCCTTAGAGAGCAAGAACCTTAGACGACTAACATGGACTGTTTACGTGTGAATACAGCGCTACAGTTGCTCCAGGATAAAAAAAAAAGTTTTATAGATTTTATTAATATAATCCAAAATAATATTAATGTCAATGACAAATATATCGAATACCTATAGTATGAATATTGTATTTGGTCATTGACTTAGCAGTGCAAACAATGCTTTTCTTACTTAATAAAATGAAGTGAGTTTTTCCCTAAAACAAGCTGAATAATTTGCCAATGGACTAAGTGAATTAAACTTATTTCAGACTGAAAACAAGATTATTTTACTCATCCCATTGGCAGAATTAGCATGAAAAACCCAGTTAAATTTGACTTCAAGAGTTCACACTTAGCTGATGATTTATTATAAGCTTGTTTGGCATGCTGTCCTGGGAGAGATCCCCTGAGCTCAAGAGATCCTCGAGCCCAGGGCTCCCTCCTGTTCACAGAGCGAGAGGGGAGATTGAGCTCAGGTGGATCTCAACAACTCCCCGGCTGAAGGGACTAAGGTGAACTACTTTGAGAAATAAGAGAGCTAAAGTGCCTGCTTTGCTTAGTCTGTTACGTGTGATGCAAATCTTTGGAGGGTGGGAGGAAACTGGAGAACCCGGAGGAAACACATGCGGACACGAACATATAAACTCCGCACAGAAACACCCACCAGCCTGGCGAGGACCAGGGCCGGCAGTGTTCTTGCTGTGAGCCTAACAGTGCTAAGCACTGAGCCGCCGTGCCGCCCGATCTATGACAAAGGAGGAGAATGGGGCGGAAGGGGGGGGTTTCTTCCGGACGAAGAGAAATGTGGACCGAAGACTGTGGTTATTTATAGTAACTTAGAAATCATATGATTGGAAGATTATGATTAGCTAATGCGAGACCGGCTGTGGTAAATCATAAGCATGTGATCCTCTCGAAATTAGTTTATAAATAAACTTTATTTTTTATTTAAAATATATATATGCTTCTTGATTTATGGAAGTTTTGATTTTTAGATTAAAATGAAGACAAAAACTTTAAGTAAGAAAAGCAGTGTGTGGCTTTAGACGACTCTGAATATGGTGCTTTATGTCATTTCAGGATCCTGACAGCCACATTACGGAGCATTGTACAGTATTCCTGTATCCATTTCCACATAAGAAAGAAAGTCATACAGCTTTGGAATGACATGAGGTAAATGCTCTTCCTTTCACATTTCAGAGTGAACTATTCCTTCAAAATGAAAACGATGTAATTGAATACACGTTTACCGGTGAATCTATCAGTGTCTAGAGCTAGCGTGACCTACCGAAGGTGTTACTGTGATCCTGTCAATCTTCTTATACTATAAAGTTTCAAAGTCTACTTCTTAACAGTCTACATTTACGCCGCTTCTTCATTAAAACATCCACAACGTTGTCCTTCTCATGCACACATTTTCCAGCAGTACTTCTGAAATGATATTGCTACCTTTGTTGCTGTCGTCCCGAGAAATGTCGTACACTTTAAGACCCGGATTTGACTTCATACGCAGATCTCAATAGGAGTGGTCATCATCACTTTGCTCTTGTCTTGGCGGTTTGGCGACGGGCTTTTGGAGGATTCCTCTCTAGAAGAGTGCAGTTCGGATAGGATGCTACGTTTCAGGGGGGTGGGGCGTAGACAGGAAGTGCCTGACGGAGGAGAGGGGTCTGCGTGTCTGTGGGCGGAGCAATGAGTGGCTCCTCCCCTAGACGTTCTACAGGACGCTCGTCGGCGGTGATGATTGAGCAGGTCGTATTTCAGAAAGTAGAAAACCTCTTTAACGCCGCACCTACGCTCTGGCTCCAGCGCCAACAGTCGACCAAACATGCGTAACGCATCGTCAGAAAAGCGCCGCCACTGGGAGGGAACAGAACCCGGTGGAAACGCCCCCCGCTGCCATCGTTGAAACTCTGCAAAAAACGCATCATTCGGCAACGCTGCCTCCCACGGAAAGTTCCCGGTCAGCATGCAGAAAAGCAGAACCCCAAAAGCCCACACGTCCTGCGTGGTGGCCACGATGATCCCCTCTGAGACTGAGGCCTGGCACACTTCGGCGGCCGTATACGGGATTGTGCCGCTGATCCGCTTGATTCGGCTGCCCGACCGCCGTGTCATGCCTAAATCCGCTAATTTCACGCGCCGACACTCGCGGTCGAAAAGCAGAACGTTTTCTGGCTTCACATCACGATGGACGAGACTCTTGCTGTGCATGAAGTCCAGAGCCAAACCCAGCTGCTGCACACAGCGCTTCACCATCTCCTCCGGCAGACCGGCCTAAAAACAGAGACACAGATAAAAGAGAGGATGATCAGCATATATTAAAAACACACCCACAATTCATTCATTCATTCATTTTATTTAGGCTTAGATTTATCAGAGGTTGCCACAGTGGAATGAACCACCAACTATTCCAGCCTTTGTTTTACACAGCTGATGCCCTTCCAGCCTCTCGGTTTTGGCTTCATACAAGATCTCAATAGGAGTGGTCATCATCAGCCTTTCCAGCCACAACCCAGAACTGAGAAACACCCATACACCCATTCTCACACACACTCATACACTATGGCCAATTTTGTTCATTCAGTTCACCTTTCAAGAGTTCACACTTAGCTGATGATTGATTATAAAGCTTGTTTGGCATGCTGTCCCGGGTGAGAGCCCCGAGCTCATAAGTTCCCTCTCATTTGCAAGGCGAGAGGGGAGTTTAAGCTCAGGTAGATCTCGAGAACTCCCCTGCTGTAGTAGCTAATGAACAGACAGTGATTGCTCTTAAGAGATAACTACTTACTAGGAGCATGTCGATGGTGCTGATTTGATTAGTCAATTAACTTAAGTTGCATATTTTTGGACAATGGGAGGAAACCGGGGAACCTGGGGGAAACCCACGTGTGCACGGGGAGAACATGTAAACTTCACACAGAAACGTCGATGGGCTTGGTAAGGACTAGAACCAGTGATGTTCTTGCTGTGAGGCAACAGTGCTAACCACTGAGCCACCGTGCCACTCATCTAGGAAAGAAGGAGGAGTAGGGGTGGATTCTTCAAAACGAAGATGGCTGTCATGTGGAACTTGGGGTATTTATAGTGGCTTAGGAATCATCTGATTGGTGAATCATAAATTGAATAATGCAGAACCGGCTGCAAGCAATCATAAGCACGTAATCCTCTCGACATTAGTTTATAAATAAACTTCACATAGTGCATATGTTCAGACTGTGAGGGAAACCGGAGCACCAGAAGGAAACCCACACCAACACGGGAAGAATATGCAAACTCCACATAGCCAACCTGATTTCATCAAGTAGGACATGATCCAGGATTAACATCTATGTTGATCCCGGAGCCACATTTCAATCAGCCAATAATTTTAGGGATACTTTTACTGTTTATGTTAAGTTTAGGCTTATGGTCAGGTTTTGCACTTCTACATGATTGTCATCTAACTATTATTCCTCTCTGGTTTGGGAATAATTTACAGTCATGGTTGGGTTTAAGGGTAGGGAATAGGTATGGATTATATTTTCCAATAAAAATGATGTTTCAGGATCAACATAGATGTTAATCCAGAATTGCAACTCCATGTTTAAAAAATACTAACTGCTTTTATTCTAGCAGAAATAAAACAAATAAGACTTTCTACAGAAGAAAAAATATTATCAGACATACTGTAAAAATTTCATTGCCCTGTTTAACATAATTTAGGAAATATTTAACAAAGAAGAAAAAATTCAAAGGGAGCTATTAATTCTGACTTCAACTGAATATATGGATAAAACTAATACGAGACTTAGGGCCTACTCACACTATGCTATCCGTACCGTGCCCATGCCCGTTTCACGGATCGTTTGAGAAGTGTGAGTGCGCTGAATCAGGCTCAGGAACGGTTCACTTGGCCGGCCCTGACCCGGTTGGAAGAGGTGTGCCTGAGCACGGTTCACTTGGGCCAAAGCCCCAAACTGAAAGCGAGACGTGACTTTTAAGGGACTGTATCATATAGATTTATTAATCATTCTTACTGTTCAGTGAAGGCAAACTGCCTTAGTTTATTAAATACGCAAACCCCTCACTGCATGAAAGCTGCGCACCTTCAGCAAAGCTCCTGATTCCTGCAGCATGAGGGCTTTATGATTTTTTATGAGAGTCAAAAGTGGCGGATCTGTTCGGCGAAATATCTGACTGCGTGTCACCGCATCTGTAAGGACTAAAGCAATATAACTAGAGAAATCTTCACTGTGCTGAGCGAAAGCGCTTAGTGAACAGCGCAGCATTGATGACGTAAGCACGCCCAGGCCAGATTGTAAGTGTGAGTGCGGGCCGTCGGGGGAGACGGGTAGGGGGTCAAGCGTGCTTTGGCCCGGTCCGAGGCAACTGTACATAGTGTGAGTACGCCCTTAATTCACCAGTAGGTGGCAGCAAGTGCCTGTCTTAATGAATGAATGTTTTGTAACACTTGTAACTATTATTCCCCTCTGGTTTGGGAATAATTTGCAGTTATGGTAAGGTTTAGAGGTAGGGAATAGGTATGAAATACATTTTCCAACAAAAATGATGTTTCAGGATCAACATAGATGTTAATTCAGGATTGCATCGTACTTGGCAAAATCATGACGTGCAACTCCACACAGAAACCACTGAGTCACCGTGTCACCTTTTTTATTTTATCATTCATTCATTCATTCATTTTCTTTTTGGCTTAGTCCCTTTATTAATCAGGGGTCGCCACAGCGGAATGAACCGCCAACTAATACAGCATATGTTCTATGCAGTGAATGCCCTTCCAACCGCACCCATCACCAGACAACACCCATACACACTAATTCAAACTCATAAGCTGCGTCCCAAATTGCACACTATATACTATGCACTCATGCACTATGTACTTATGCACTTACACACTCACCAGTATAGTATACATATGTGAAATCGTCCCAAATGGCACACTAATGTTTTTTTTACTATGCGGAAATTCAAACCGTTTCCCTGATGACGTTTGACGGTTGCCAAATCAGTGAAATAAACGACCGAATCATCAAATAATACCTGCCGTGAGTGTAACCGCATTCACCATCGGGAGGTGCTATAATCACTCTCATAGGAGAATTTTGCTTTCACCATCCAAAATAAATAAAGTTACCCAACATATGCGCCCGATAGCTCCGCCCCTTCCGCTTTGTGAGCAAACCTACAGTCATTGAGTGCGTGAAGTGTCCATCATTACACACTTCATTTTACCGGCTGATTGAGTGCATCATCCGGGTAATTAAAGTGCACTTATTATTTTTAGAGTTTTCTGTGTGAACGCACTACTTACACTATTTATACTACAAAATGGCGTAGAATAGTGCATAAGTATGCGATTTGGGACGCAACTATACACTACGGCCAATTTTAGCCAACCCAGTTCACCTGTACCTCATTTCTTTGGACTTGTGGGGGAAACCGGAGCACCTGGATAAAACCCACGCGAACATGGGGAGAACATGCAAACTCCACACAGAAATGCCAACTGACCCAGCCGAGGCTCGAACCAGCGACCTACTTGCTGTGAGGCGATTGTGCAACCGTGACACCCTATATTATCATGATAATAATACCTGAGGTGGGATGATGTCGAACAGGTCTCCGGCAGGCGCATACTCTTGGCCGAACACATAGCTGTCCTCCGTCTCAAACAGAACATTCAGGACTTTGATGATAAATGGGCTGCAGCCGAGTGCTGCGTTCAGACTGTATTCCCGCAGAAAACTACGCAGCTTTGTCTTGTTCTTGCTCACGTACTTCAGAGCCAATTTAGTACCTGCAAAAATATGGAATAAATAAATATATGAAATAAATATGGTGCCTAAAAACAGTACCGTATTTGAATTAGGGATGTGCAATTTTGACTATATATATATATATATATATATATATATATATATATATATATATATATATATATATATAACAAATACGACACTAAATCTACCAGTAGGTGGCAGCAAGTCCCTGTGTTAATGTATCAATGTATTAAATGTATTGTAACACTAATAACAACATACAATAAGGTTTGATAACTGTTAGTTATTATTTTTACTAACATGAACTTAGAATTAACAACACCTGAAGTGCTTATTAATTATAGTTTAACATTTAATACACTGAAAAAAATAATTCAAAGATGACTCCTTGGATTATTATTATTTTTTTACATTAAGTGGTTGTAAACAATTTATTTGGGCTGAATTTAAACAAACAAATTAAGTTGAACATTATTAAATCTAACTTGTTTGTTTAAATTCAGCCCAAATAAATAGTTTGCAACAATTCTGCAGACATTTTTCTTTCAGTGTAAAGCACGATTAAAATCAATCATATTCACTACAGTCAACAGCGTATTGTCTTGTTTCCACTAGAAAGAAGTAAATAGGGAATGGCACAGCCTCATTTTCATACTGACTCACCCTGTGTCCGGTGCACTACCAAGTCGACTTTGCCGTAGGTGCCTTTCCCCAGAGGACTAATCAACTCAAACTGCTGCTCTACCTCGGAGGCGGAGAGAGACGTGATTGACAGAGCCTGCATGTCCTCGACCGGAGCTCCGCCCATCCCGACACCCCGTCCCGCTGGAGGAACACCAACCTGGGCACTGACAAACACACACAAACACTTTATCCCAAATGCACATATCAACACAAGCGTGCAGCATTTAATGTTCATGATTTATTCCTGTCATATAATAAGCACCACTGCCCTTTTGTCACCTGTAACTTTAAATGCTCGAGCTCTTCAAAATCACGATGCAATTCTGATTGGCTGCCAATGATTATATCATTCATGTGCTGGAGAAATTCTTCATGAACATGATTGAGGCATTATTGTTCCTCTGAACCATTAATCACTCTGCTATTCTTTTATTTTCAGAGAGATATTTAGGACTGTATTGTTACTGCTGTATTTCGTGTCCTTGTTGTGAGCAGGTCTGTTCTCCATCAGATCTCCCTGATGGTCTTCTCTGTCTTCTGCTATCTTTCTCATTTTACTGGAATATTCTTGGAAGTCATTAACTCTATGTAGATGTATGTTTAACGACGTTAAATTACAGAAATATAACATAAAATAACGGTGTTAAATTACAAAAATATGCTATAAAATAACGGCATTAAATTACAGAAATTTACCGTAAAATAACGGCCGTAAATTGCAGAAAAAATGACTGTTAAATTACAAAAAATATACCATAAAATAACGACGTTAAATTACAAAAATATACTATAAAATAATGGCGTTAAATTACAGAAAAAATTACTGTTAAATTACAAAAATATACCATAAAATAATGGTGTTAAATTACAGAACTTTACCGTAAAATAACGGCCGTAAATTACAGAAAAAATGACTGTTAAATTACAAAAATATACCATAAAATAACGGTGTTAAATTACAGATATATACCATAAAAATAACGGCCGTTAAATTACAAAAATATACCATAAAAATAACGGTGTTAAATTACAGATATATACCATAAAATAATGTCGTTAAATTACAGAAATTTAACGTAAAATAACGGCCGTTAAATTACAGAATAAATTACTGTTAAATTACAAAAATATACCATAAAATAATGGCGTTAAATTACAGAAATTTAACGTAAAATAACGGCCGTAAATTACAGAAAAAATGACTGTTAAATTACAAAAATATACCATAAAATAACGGTGTTAAATTACAGATATATACCATAAAATAATGGTGTTAAATTACAGAAATTTAACGTAAAATAACAGCCGTTAAATTACAGAAAAAATGACTGTTAAATTACAAAAATATACCATAAAATAACAGCGTTAAATTACAGAAATATACCGTAAAATAACGGCCGTTAAATTACAAAAATATACCATAAAAATAACGGTGTTAAATTACAGATATATACCATAAAATAATGGCGTTAAATTACAGAAATTTAACGTAAAATAACGGCCGTTAAATTACAGAATAAATTACTGTTAAAATACAAAAATATACCATAAAATAATGGCGTTAAATTACAGAAATTTAACGTAAAATAACGGCCGTTAAATTACAGAAAAAATGACTGTTAAATTACAAAAATATACCATAAAATAATGGCGTTAAATTACAAAAATATACTGTAAAATAACGACCGTTAAATTACAAAGAAAAACAATCGTTAAGTTACAAAAACATACCATAAAATAACGGCGTTAAATTACAGTAATAGACCATAAAATAACGACTGTTAAATTACAGAAATATACCGTAAAATAACAGCCAGTAAATGACAAAAATATACCATTAAATAACGACTGTGAAATTACAAAAATATCCTGAAAAATAACAGCGTTAAATCCAGATATATACCGTAAAATAACGGCCATTAATTTACAGAAAATAAGGCCTGTTAAATTACAAAAATATACCATAAAATAACAGCCTTAAAATACAGAAATATACCATAAAATAACTGTGTTAAATTACAGAAATATACCATAAAGTAACTGCGTTAAATTACAGAAATATACCATAAAGTAACTGCGTTAAATTACAGAAATATACCATAAAGTAACTGCGTTAAATTACAGAAATATAACATAAAATAACAGCCTTAAAATACAGAAATATACCATAAAATTACTGTGTTAAATTACAGAAATATACCATAAAATAACTGCGTTAAATTACAGAAATATGCCATAAAGTACCGGTAACTGCGTTAAATTACAGAAATATACCATAAAGTAACTGCGTTAAATTACAGAAATATACCATAAAATAACTGCGTTAAATTACAGAAATATGCCATAAAGTACCGGTAACTGCGTTAAATTACAGAAATATACCATAAAGTAACTGCGTTAAATTACAGAAATATACCATAAAGTAACTGCGTTAAATTACAGAAATATACCATAAAGTAACTGCGTTAAATTACAGAAATATACCATAAAGTAACTGCGTTAAATTACAGAAATATACCATAAAGTAACTGCGTTAAATTACAGAAATATACCATAAAGTAACTGCGTTATATTACAGAAATATACCATAAAGTAACTGCGTTAAATTACAGAAATATACCATAAAGTAACTGCGTTATATTACAGAAATATACCATAAAGTAACTGCGTTAAAATACAGAAATATACTGTCAAATAACAGATGTTAAATTACAGAAATGCCCTAAAATTTAAATGTCTGTAATTTAATATCCGTTATTTTATGGTATATTTCTGTAATTTAACGGCCGTTAATTTACGTTTTTTTCCGGCACCCCAGCTGCCTGAAATAAACCGTAAAACTACAGATTTTTTTTACAGTGAAGGACATTTTTTAATTATATTCAAGTTCACCATTCCAATTCTTTGCAAAATATAGCATTTTAACCAACAGTAGAGCTACACATAGGCCAAATATTATTATTGTTATGTACCATATGCTTGAGAATTTACAAAATTAAAAACCTCCTCATATTAACCTTTATTTTAGATCTACAAAATCGTGATCTAGATTTTAAGCAAAAAAAAAAAATTGTGATTCTCATTTTAGCCAGAAATGTGCAGCCTTATTTCAGATGATTCATAATTAGGAAAATATTTGGCCAAGATGCAACAGCTTGAATATCTGGAATCTCTCTCTTTCTCCAGCGCTCATCGTGTCCTCTTTTCTTCCCTTTTGTCAGCATTCTGTTTTCCTCGTCATGTACCTGACTCGACGAAGCAGTCAAATCTTTGTAAATTTTTGAAGAGCGCTGAGGTCTGCTGCAGCTCAGGGGAATAAAGCGCTGACCCAGAATCAGTAGTGACGTCCTCATCATCATCATGAGTGCTGACAGCAGCCTGCGCTCGGCCGACAGCCACTACAACAACAACAGCAGCAGCAGTAGCAAATGAAGGAGAACACGACCTTAAAACGACCTCTCCGAACCCCTGCTGTCCTGACCGACACTCAAATGAGGTATGGATTGAGGAACGCTCTCCTTTCGGTCTGCATTCACTCTCTGAGCTGCATTAAATCACCTGCCGTTTCTCTCCGCTGCTTCCTTCTCAAGCGGTGAATTGGGCTGAGGGGAATCTGAGGGCATGCATTTTCTTCCTTTTTAATTCTGTGAGCCTCTACACACTGGATGGTGGATTTGGAATGACAGGAAAAGCCATTTTTGTAATTGCGATGGAAATTCACATTTGCCCAACACTGCTTAATGACAATTAAATCCATTTTGAATACTAAATTTAGGAAAATGCTATATGTTTTCCCAAGAATATTTATATATTTGAAAAAATTTCCCAAGTGATGTTTAAAGATTTTTTCAACACACATCTAAATATAATAAATGTTTTAATGTAATAAAATTTTTATAATCATTTTATTAATATTAAATAAATAAATTAATTAATTAATTAAAAAAAAAATATATATATATATATATATATATATATATATATATTTTTTTTTTTTTATTGATTAATTTATTTATTTATCCATATTGTATATTTATCTATTTATTTATATTTATTATATATATATATATATATATATATACACACACACACACACACACACACACACACACACACACACACACACACATACAGTTGAAGTCAGAATCATTAAAGATATTAGCCCCCTGTTTATTTTTTTCCCCAATTTCTGTTTAGTGGAGAGCAGATTTCTTCAACACATTTCCAATCATAATAGTTGTAATAAATCATCTCTAATAACTGTTTTATTTTATCTTTGCCTTGATGACAGTAAATAATATTTGACTAGATATTTTTCAAGACATTTAAAGGCTTAACTTGTCATGATCACCAGCGATCGTAACTTCATAGATCGCTGGATCTCACACACAAGAACTGATGGACTACAAATCTGCCATTCATGGACTACATTTTCATACATGCACTCCGCACACACACACATGCTTCCTTATTCTGACTGATTACACTCGCACCACCGGAGGATTGTCAAAGACTGATTACACACACTACTTAAGCAGCACACACACATGGCCGAGTCTTGTTTACGTAAAGTGACATTACAAGTCGTTTTCCTGGTCTTGTTTTTCCCGTGTTTTGACCTTAGCCTAGTTTGTCTTTTTGTCTGCCGCCTGCCTTCCGACCTCTTCCCTGTTATTCCGACCACGATTCTGGGTTGTTTTTATACCTCTGTTTGCACCCGTATTGACAATTGCTTGCCTGATATCCTGAATAAACCTGCATGAGGATCTGAACTCATTTGTCTCTGTCACTCCCTGTGTTACATAACAAGGTTAATTAGGTTAACTAGGCAGGTTAGGGTAATTAGGCAAGTTATTGTATAACGATGGTTTGTTCTGTAGACTATTGAAAAAATATAAAGCTTAAAGTGACTAATAACTTTCCCTTAAAATGGTTTTTAAAAAATTAACAACTGCTTTTATTCTAGCCGAAATAAAACAAATAAGACTTTCTCCAGAAGACAAAATATTATCAGACATACTGTGAAAATTTCCTTGCTCTGTTAAACATAATTTGGGAAATATTCAAAAAAGGAAAAAATTCAAAGGGGGGCTAATATTTCTGATATACATACATACACTTGAAGGCAAAATTATTATCCCTCCTATGTACATATGAAAAATGAAATAAATTAATTTATAAATAACTATATAGAAATTAAAAAAGGGTAGGTTTGGAAAAACAGTACAAAAGACAATATAAATAAAAAATATTTATGAATACATTTTTAAAATGAAAAAATTATTAAATAAAACAGTAAATTAATTTATAAAAAGATAAATAAATAAGTTTTTAAATATACATTTTTTTAATTCAATTATAATTTTCTAGTAGAATATCATGAATTAAGTGAAGTAATCGAAAATCGATGCCTAAATTATGAAATTGAGTGTTAATTACATAAATAAATGGACTCATATACTATATCATATCCTATATTATTATCATATTTATAATCATAATTTTATTTAAATAATGTCATTTAGCTCCATTTTTAAAACTGATTTAACGTTTTACTGAATATGTCTATATATACAGTTGAAGTCAGAATTATTAGCCCCCTTTTGATTTTTTTTCTCTTTTTTAAATATTTCCCAATAATGTTTAACAGAGCAAGGAAATTTTCACAGTATGCCTGATAATTTTTTTTTTCTTCTGGCGAAAGTCTTATTTGTTCTATTTCGACTAAACAAGCATTTTTTTTAAAACCCATTTTAAGGTCAAAATTATAAGCCCCTTTAAGCTTAATTTCTTTTCGATAGTCTAAAGAAAAAAAACATCGTTATACCCTAACTTGCTTAATTACCCTAACCTGCTTAGTTAACCTAATTAACCAAGTTAAGCCTTTAAATGTCACTTTAAGCTGTATAGAAGTGTCTTGAAAAATATCAAGTCAAATATTATTTACTGTCATCATGGCAAGGATCAAATACATCAGGTATTAGAAATTAGTTATTAAAACTATTATGCTTAAAAATGTGTTGAAAAATCTCTCCGTTAAACAGAAAATGGGGGTAAAAATAAACAGGGGGGTCTAATAATTCAGACTTCAATTGTATATAAATATTGAATATTATATATTATTTACACTCAAGTAAATGTGTTAATAATAATAGTATATAAATGTTATATTAAAGATACACTGTAAATTATATAAATGTATATTTTTACATGCAGTTACAAACTAAATGTATCAATTCAAATCCTCTGGTTCATTTAAAATAGTCAACAATATGAAATGTTATTATTATTATTATTATAACTTATATTTTACCAGGAAAGACACATTGAGATTAAAAATCTCTTCTACAAGAGCGCCCTGGCCAAGATTAGGCAGTACACAAGTCACACGAGTCCAACAGACAACAAACAAAAAACAATTTACAGTTAACATGAATCACACTGACAAACTATTCAAAACATCTACAAACCTGTTTAAACTTCTAAATCTTTTATAGTCTTTTTAAAAGCATGTATTGAAATCAATTCAAATGTAAATGTAACACACTCTTGAGTTCATATCTGAACAGCCCAGCGCCAGCAACATCAAGGTCATTGGTTTGATCCTGAGGGACTGAGCCATAAAAATCTCCCGTCAGATGAATTCATGCAAAATGCCATAATTTCTCCACACAGTCTGACTGAGTGTAAAACAGAGCGAGTACGAAAACAGGACATTTTGTACAATGTCTTTTGAATTCTCAAGAAACACCACAAAGAAAACATCAAGTAACAATTTCAATTAAATGGAAAATACTGCAGGAAGCTTTGTGAAAATACACTTTATAGTGTAAATTCAGAGTCCCTTAACTGTAATTATAATAATAAAAATCTAACCTCATTTTACATGAATGTCAAAAGAAGGCATTTGACCTATGGTTTCTCTCAGGTCACATTCATTTCACAAACTTTGCTAATATTTAAGAAAATACCTACTTATATTTACATTTAAACACTGGCATATAAACAATAAAGACTTCTATGTTAAGCTGCTTTGACACAATCTACATGGTAAAAGTGCTATAGAAATAAAGACGAATTGAATTGAATTGAATAAATGCAGCTAAAAGGGCATCCTCTGCATAAAACATATGCTGGATAAGTTAGCGGTTCATTCCTCTGTGGCGACCCCGGATTAATAAAGAGACTGAGCCGAAAAGAAAATGAGTGAATGTTTTTATTATTTTTATATTCTATTTTTCTTCCTTTTTATTATTTAATTTTAGTTTATTTTTACATTTATATTTTAAACCACATTATTTCACTTTCATTTATTGTATTATTTATTTTTTTTAAAGATATTTATTCCACTCGTGCTCATATTTCATAGTATTTTTTGTTTATTAAATTTGATTAAATGTATTTAATTTCTTTCACATTTATTTATTTATTTATTTATTGCTTTTTAATTTAGTGTCTTAAAATGAATTATCATTTACTTATTTTTTATTAAATGGAATACAATATACTTAAATGTTTGCTAATTATTACATTTATTACATTACATAGTATAATATTTTGTATTCGACTCAAAACTTTTGCTGCTTGTTTAAACTGCTTATTTAAATAAGTTAAATCAACAATTTTTAAGTTTTTTTTGGGACAACTTAATTGTTTTATGTTCAATCTATTTATATTTGTAAAAACAATTAAATTCGTTTATTTGATTTGTGTTAAGGGCTGCTGTGGAAAACATATGCTGGAATAATTGGCAGTTCATTCTGCTGTGGCAAACCCTGATTAATAAAGGAACTAAATAACAAACTGAATGAATGATTGAATGAATGAATGAATGAATGAATGAATGAATGAATGAATGAATATTATTCATTCAGTCATTTTCTTTTCGGCTTAGTCCCTTTATCAATCTGGGGACACCACAGTGGAATGAACCGCCAACCTACCCAGCATACGTTTTTTTACACAGCATGTCCTTCCACCCACAACCTATTCCTGGGAAACATCCATACACACTCATTCACACCCATACAATACGGACAATTTAGCCTACCCAAATCACCTTTGGACTGAGGGGGAAACCGAAGCACCCGGAAGAAACCCACGCCAACGCGGAGAGAACATGCAAACTCCATACAGAAAGTTAACTGACCCAGTCGAGGCTGCAGCGACCTTCTTGCTGTGAAACGAACATGCTACCCACTGCGCCATGGCTACCCACTGCGCCACCGCGTCGCCAAATTGAAATTGAAAAATAATTTATTTATAATTAAGAATTTTCCATTAAAATCATATATATTAATACTATTATTTTAAGCAAAAACTAAATCATACCAATAAAATGTATTATAGTTTAGTAATTATTAAAATCATAATAATAAAATAATAATAAAAAACTATTATACAACTATATTGCTATTGAAAATTAGCATTATTTTTAAAAACTATTATTTCATAAATAATAATAATCTATTCCATGCCAAAAGTAGCTCCAAAGTACCTTTATTATTGTCATATTTTTAATCATTTAGTCACCAATGTATATTATATTATATTATATTATATTATATTATATTATATTATATTATATTATATTATATTATATTATATCATATTATAATATATTATACTATATTAATTTCATATTAACAGTTAATTGTAACCAAATTTCTTTGCCTTTTATCCTGAATGCATTCTCTTTTATTTGCAGGATATTTAATTAAACAGCTGTTTTACTCTCAAATTAATCTGTAACCAGTTTTTCCCCTCTTTATTTATTTTTCCACCTCATCTTTTCCTGTCGGCTACAACAAACATCAACAATCCTGCCTAAAACAATAAAAAAGCATCACCAACTTCACCAGAAAAGAACGCACACACAATGTACCTCCAGCAGAGACAAACAAACCCTCAATTACAGCAAGTGCCCTTTCCTTCACAGCAGGTCCTTCAAGATGCCTTCAAACAAAAGAAATGGATCCACACAGTTTTTTGTTTTTCTTCCCCCCAGTCCTGAACTCACCTGCCGGCGCCCTGCTGTCTCTCGCCCTCATGTTCCTGCATCCAAACGCCACGTCCGATCCGACAGCACTGCCTAGAGATTCATTGCAGAGAGAAGTGTGAATGGGTGCGGATCATGTGCACGTCGCTTTACATCCTGAGCCGTGTGGAGCTGGTGTGGAGAAGCGCAGTCCTGCTCGCTGTTTTCTTTGTGAGGGAAACAGCATGAGGAGAGCGGAGCATCACTCGTGTGCTGTGAGTATGGCAAGCCCATTATACATTTAGTCTGCCAGAGCTATAGTGTCTGTTAGTGGTGGCAAAATACCAGTTTTTCATGTCTGATATCGATGCTGGTCCAGTACCATTAGGGTTTTTGATTGAAAATGGCATTTTTTGTTTTAGGTCACACTTTATTTTGATGCTCCGTTTGTTGAATATGGTTACATTGCATTTACATGCCAACTAATTCTCATTAGATTATGAGTAGACTGTTAGGTTGGGGTTGGGGTTAGGGTTAGTGTAAGTTGACATGTACTTGCAAAGATTCTTATCGGTTAAACATCTGTTGAAGAAGCAGTATCAACAGATATTAAGCAGACAGTCTACTAATACTCAAATGGACCATCAAAATAAAATGTTACCTTGATTTTTGGCTGAATGGCGGAGCGCCTGAAAGCTGCTGTAAGAAAAGTATGTGATTTCAGTCAGTGAAAAGATTTTAAATTTGTTTTTCGTTCATAGAATTTCACATTGGTCAAAAAATAAAAGCCAAAAAAGGTTATTCTGCAATGAGGTAATGTTCAACGAGCTGGTTTCACTCTCCTTTCAGCTGTACTCATTAGCTGCGTTTCCACTATCGTGGCTAAAGCGAGTGAGCCAGGGCGAGCCAAGGCCAGTCAGAGCTTTTCTCTGTAGGCTAGGCTATCTTTTTTCTTAAATACATGTAGAGCTTTTTTAGTGGATAGCTGCTGAGCGCAACGAAACATAGGCTATATTTTATTACTTGCTCTTATTTGCTGAAGTACTTAACACTTTCCCTAAATATCCTTAAATAAAGGGGAATCACCTATTAAGTGTCATATAGCCTATAGGGAAAAATTAATGTTTCAGATCTTTCCGGAGCATTTGGGCTGAATGTTTGACGTGTATATCTGAACGAGCATGTTATGAAATATATTTTCTTTTTTCTTTCCATTTTTCTGTCTATCAACAGAGAATTTCTGTGGTTTTATAATATGGATTGGTGCGCTCACTGCGCTGGGTCCCTCCGTTAGTGGCGAGACCACTCGATTTCGATGCCGACAGTCGGTCGGTGAGTAAATAAATATGGTGAATGAGAACACAGGCCTGTGCGTACAGACATATAATGTAATGCTGAACCATAACGGGTCATTTGTTTGTTTTGGATGTCTTTATTTGAATGGTTTCGTGATGATGTGATGGTGTGCATTATCTGCCTGATTCCCGCCGAAGTGGGCGGATTGTGTGACGTTTTGATTCGGGGGACGTTCTGGGGGCGAGGTTTGCGTGATGCGCTGCGAGCTACTAGCCTGACAGTGTAAACGCGACATGATTTCGGCCTCATTGCTCAACCTCCCGGGCGATTGGCCCGGCCCGATTAAAGCCCTGGCTCGCACTGGCCAGACAGTGGAAATGCGGCTAGTGTATGGAGTTAAAGGGACATGAAACCCCCTTGTGTCGTTTTGAGCACACACTGAGTGTGGCAAAACAACGCACAGACGCAGAGGAGAAAGACAGCAACGTTTTCATTGACATCAGTAAACAAATTATTTGCCAAATTCTTAATTTGTCAACTTTAACTGCAGTTTGGCGCTTTACTTTCACTCAGGAACATTTTATGCATGCCTCCTATGACAAACGTGATACTGGATGCGAGGAACTGCTGGAAGAGTGTAGTTTTAATGCAATGTTAGATACCGCACGGCGAATAGGAGAAAAAAAATCAGCATTGTTCGGTAACTTATATGCACTAGTTAGGTAGCGTTAGAAAGCCGTGTGTTTATAGACTATCCTGTCACAAAATGCGGCAAAAATTCTACGTGACGATAATAGTGTGATTGGGTGTTTACATGTTTACACTCGGAGAGCAGCATTTACAGCGGATCTTTAGTCCGTAATATTGTAGTGATATTAACGTACGGTAAACTTAGTAACTAAATCATTTTGATTAAGGTTTGTCTTTAAAAACAGCCTCTGGTGGATTTATGCGAGAGGAGCAGGTGTGAATGGCGCTTGCGAGAGAAGTGTAAGATCTCAAAAAGCATACACAGCGCTCTCTGGTGGATTCACGAAAGCAGAAACAGCCAAAAACGTATCTCCTGGTGTTTGGTGCTCTCCAAAAATGTATATAGAGGTACGTTTTCAGAATGAGCCTGGGTTGATTAAATGGTAAACCAGCTTGCCATATAGAGTGTATGTATATGTGTGTGTGAGAGAGAGGGGAGAGAGAGAAAGAGAACTTGTGTATGTGTGTGTGAGAATGAGAGTTTGTATGTGCATGTTTGTTTTCGTGCCATACAAGGACACAAACTTGTATAACAAAGGTATTACAAGGAGAAAGTGACTTATGAGGACACTGCCCATGTCCCCATTAGTGCAAGGCTTATGAATCATACAGAGGGATTTTTTGGAGAAAGTATGATGCACATTTTTCCATAAGGGTTGGGTTTAGGGATAGTGTTGTGCTAGCGTTCTAAAAAAAAATACAGTTTTTCAGTATTAAAAAATGGAAACCTATGGAATGTCCCCACAATTCACAAAGAATGAATCTCTGTGTGTGACAGGCTGTGTGTTATGTATGTTTGCTTATGTGTGTGTGTGTGTGTGTGTGTGCGTGTGCGAATAACCCAGTTCCCTGCGCTGCTCTCCTGTATGTCGGTGTGTCCGCTGGTGTGTTCAGGGATGTTCGCCTGCAGCTCGTCCACATTCAGTCTTCATCCGCACACCGAGTTTAACACACACAACCTGACAGATAGATGTTTTTCACATTTTCACCCCAGTTCTCCTCGCTGTAATGACTTGAGTGTTATTTTAGAGCCTTCCTTTTGATTTTAAATGTATTTTTGTTTTTATGTTTTACCACATTTTTGTGTTTATTCAGTTCATCACATTTAATTGAACTAAATTAAACTGAGAAACTGACGGTATAGTGTTTATTCTCTTTCTTTTTCCGCTAAATTGAAATAAATGACCAATAATGTCTTGTCAACTAGAGGTAAAATATATATGTTTAATGTGGGACGACGCAAGAAGGTCGCTGGTTCGAGTCCTGGCTGGGTCAGTTGGCATTTCAGGAGTTTGCATGTTCTCTCCTCATTGGCGTGGGTTTCCTCCGGGTGCTCCGGTTTTCCCCACAGTCCAAACACATGTGCAATAAGTGAATTTGGCAAACAAAATTGCCCGTAGTGTTTGAGTGGGTGTGTGAATGTAATGTAATGTGTATTTATATAGCGCATTTATTGTGTATGGCCGTACACCCAAAGCGCTTCACAATCATGAGGGGGGTCTCTCCACACCACCACCAGTGTGCAGCATCCACTTGGATGATGCAACGGCTGCCACAGGACAACGGCGCCAGTGCGCTCACCACACACCAGCTATTGGTGGAGTGGAGAGACAGTGATTGAGGCAATTCAGTGGAAGGGGATGATTGGGAGGCCATGATCGTAAGGGCCGATTGAGGGACTTTGGCCAGGACACCGGGGTTACACCCCTGCTCTTTTAGGAGAAGTGCCATGGGATTTTTAATGACCACAGAATGTCAGGACCTCGGTTTCACGTCTCATCCGAAAGACGGCGCCCACTGACAGAGTAGTGTCCCCTTCACTTTTACTGGGGCATTAGGACTCACATAGACCTCAGGTTGAGCTCCCCCTGCTGGCCTCACTAACACACTTCCAACAGCAACCTAGTGTTCCCTAGTGGTCTCCAATCCAGGTACTAACCAGGCTCAGCCCTGCTTAGCTTCAGTGAGTAACCGGTCTTGGGCTGCAGGGTGATATGGCTGTGGCAACTATTGAATGAGTGTGCATGGGTGTTTTCCAGTACTGGGTTAAATAGTTGGCGGTTCATTCTGCTTTGGCGACCTCTGGAATAGAGACTAAGTCAAAGCAAAATGAATGAATGTTTTAAGGTTTTATTTTAAATGCATTGTTATGCAAATATTTTATTATGATTAATAACAACAAGTACATTTAAGAAATGTTGGATTATTTAAATCCCAATTGTGTAAACTATTAGCAAAAATACGACTTTTGCTGCTTGTTCAATCTACTTATTTAAAAATGAGTTAAAACAACACAAATCTTAATTTTTTTTTTGGGACAACTTAATTGTTTTATGTTGTAAATTTGTAAAAGAAATGATAGTAAACATACTGTCATTGATTTGTGTTGGGAAAACATGAAGGAATTGTGCGGAACCCAGCATTTTTTACAGTGTATGGACTTCCCCGGACATTGGCTTAAATATGGCCCCATTCATTCATTTCCAAAAATTAACCCAGCAGTTGAGAAGGGAATAAACGGAGGTCAGAGCCAGCTCCAAGTGGTTGGGATTTGAGCTCCAAGTGGGCTGTACAAACCTGGAGTTATTTATTTATTTATTTAATGTCTTGTACATGTATACATGAGTCCAATATTGTGTCTTATGAATGTCTACGCCTACCCCAACTCTAAACCCAACCTCACAGTAACCTGATGTGTTTTATTAATATCTACACCACCTAAACCCAACCTACTTGTGGTTTAAGTCCCTCCCACTTTGAGGTCTCTGGGCTGCAGCGAACCCTACTTCCAGCAGTTGAGTTAGTCCATATTACACCTGAAATTGGGTTGAAATAACCCATCATTTTTCAGAGTGTAGATCAAAATCTCACATTGACCTTCATTGTTTGTGAAAGCAACAGTGATAATAGATTAGTTTGGATTTATTGGCATAATTAAATGTATGTTTTTGTAAATGTATTCATTTGGCCGATGTTTACACTGCATTTAGGGTCAGCGAATCTTAAAAGCTAGGTCTTAACTTAAACTGGAATGATTCGATCATTAATTTTCCTTCGGCTTAGTCCCTTCTGTCATCAGAGGTCTCCACAGCGGAATGAACCACCAACTCTTCCAACTTAAACACTGGAATTATTCAATCATTCCTTTTCCTTCGGCTTAGTCTCTTATTTCATCAGGGGTCGCCATAGCGGACGAAACCGATAACTATTCCAGCATATGTTTTA